GTTGCTTGATCATTGGTTGATCATCAGTATGTTGTTTAATCATAGGTTTTTATTGGCACATCATACAAAATATTAAATCAGTAAAGTCATTCAGATCATTCAGTTGCCTGTACCACCATAGCAAATGGCAATCGTTTGAACTTTTTTTTGTCCCTGCTGTGTTTGTTGAACACACTCTCATATATATTGACTTCTAAAGCTACAGTTTTCGCCAGGAAAAAAAAAAAAAAAAAAATCAGTGTTGATTTGATTTCACATTATAAACAGACACTTTCTAAGAAAGAAATGCTGAAATAACTAATATTGGACCATGTGTTTTTATACATGTTTTACATGTCAGTGAATTGTTCTATTTTTTATTTATTTATTTATTTTTACAGCATATTTTAACAATAAATCTCTTGTTTTAATGTATATTGTCACCTACTCATTTTCACATAAACATCCTGTCAGCAAGTGAGTCAAATATTAATTCAGTAAACATTCAGATTCAGCAATTGTTCTGAATGGACTTTGATTTTCAAAAATGAAGTGCATTTATTTCAGTAATGATAATCATCCTGTCTGGACACATTCTTTCTTTATTTTATTTTATTTTTTATTAAAATTTGCACTACTTAAAGAAATACAAATACTTACATGATGCATAAATTAGTGTTCAAAAAATACAGGCACCTTAAAACGTGGTAAAATGTACGGCATTTATTACAGTAATTATAATCATCCTGTCAGGACACATTTTTCCTCATTATTATTAATTTAAAATGAGAATTGAGGGTGGTTATTGTTCAATTACATTATGCTAAATATATTTCCTTTTGTTTTGTAATACACAAAAGTTAAATGCACTCAGCCGTATAAATGATTTGTAAGAATTTTATATTTGGTAGCACATCTTGTAGCAAAACTTCTCCATAAATCTCTCACCTAATAAATGCTTGTCGCACACAAACATGTCAGAGGTGTCTGTCATTGACTGAAAGCCTCTTGCTCTGTCAGAATCAGGGCCATGCAAACGGACACCTGTGAGCCGGGTTTCAGCATGGCACCGTGTGACTTAGACTCGATGTCGATTTCTGACCCGGAAGACAAACTCCTAAATTAACCATTTTCCTCTTGAAAATAATATTATATAAAGAAGAAGAGTTGTCTAACATATGTATTTCTTGTTGAGGCTTGAGGCTTTCCTTTATTACAGCAGTGCATTTGCAGTGTTACATATTCTGTGCCTTGAGGGCTAAATTATGAGATTGAACATCATGTGTTCACAGACTGTGATCTCTGATCTTCCTGGTTGTTTTTCAGACTGCTTGCTGGTCCTTGTATCATATGACTGCCTTTTCCACGCCATTAACTTTCTTGTATTATGGATGGACTTTGACTTGCTTGAACTTATATCCCATCTTTGATTTCTACTGTGCACTTGATGTATATAAAACTAAACATTATCAAATTTCAGCAAGTTTGTAGATTGTACTGATCCAAAACATCTATAACTTACTTTCTTCTCTAGAACAAAACAAAGATATTGTGATTTTTTTTTTTTTTTTTTTTGTCCAGGGAAAGTAGATTCTGATCTTAATTTGATGTGATATCAGGAAATATGTCTGGTTCATGTCAGGTTTTTTATTTATTTATTTTTTCCTAAGAAAGAAAAAAATCTCTTTCAACTAATGCTGTAAACTATACAGAAAACCCACTTACTTATACTAGGGCTGTATAAAATCAATATCACTATTGCAAACTCTCTTTATAATCATGAAAAAGCTGTCACTCACCTAAGTTCATCGCGAGGTATTACGGCCGATTACAAAAGTCGACATTGCACAGCTAAACATAGACACAAATATCCCGCTACGTTTGTATTATTATGTGTGGAAGTCTGATCGCTTTATTAGGCTATTGAATGGAAAAATAACATATAGAAATCCCTTTCATTTCCAAAAAAAAAAAAAAAAAAATCTGAACTGCAGAAACATTATTTGTTTATGCTCGTAAAGCTGCTTCGCCAAGTGTGCGCTTGCAGTGTTGCCATGTCCATTTATATCCATCTGAGCTTATTTGTTCCATATTATGAGGTGAAGTGACAACTTAGTTCAGTTGGAGTGTGCCAGTGTCAGTTATTTGAACAGAGAAAACCCTGTCAAAAAAAGGGTTGGCCGGAGCGGTGGCCAAGCTTCAATCATGACCACCACGTAGCTATACCCCTGGTTACGCTCATCTCGGAGCGTCTCCGTTCACAGTAAATGCTGCTCCACACAAACAGTCATCATTTATATGAGTGGACTGTCTCAAACTCCATCTTTGCATACGCTGTGAGTCTGAGTTGCTTATAACGTTCATCTGGGAACAATGTGCATCATTCTATCAGATTTATAAGGTAAATCATTTATAAACCTATGCCAACACAGCAGTATACATCATTATATTTCTAAATATAACAACTGTTCATCGCTACTTCATTAAAAGTTTCTGTCATAAAGAAGTGGCTAAATATTAAAGATTAAGTGGACATTTGAAGTAAATGTTTAGTCAATATTAAACAAGGATTAGTTTGCGCTGTAAAGTGTAAAAACAATCGTCAGGCATTTGGCTCCCTCTGCAGGCATTTGATATAATACATAATGTACGTAAGTAATGATTATATTGTTTTATTACATTGCTTTTTATATTTTATTTGAACCCATTATTATTGCCTCATTGCTATTATATATGTATTTTAAGTCATTTTAAAGTCTATTGTTCACTTAGGTCTATTTTTATTACCACAAAAATATCTGATTACTTGATTAATCGTCAGAAAAATCGACAGATTACTTGATTACCAAAATAATCGTTAGTGACAAACCTACTTGATACATTACTATTAAAGGTAAAAATGAACAGCAGAATCCAAACTATTAAATATAGTTACTATTTATTTTCATATATTCATAAATATTAATCAACATTCAAACAAAAACATTTATTCAGACGTTTGAATTGCCCATTGAATGGCAGGTTGAGCAGTTCATTTTGAGTCACTTTGACTCAAATGATATAATTATTATGTTTCAACTCAAATTCATTGTGGAAATATGATTACTTGCGCTGTGGGTGTCTTAAAGACTTGTTTACGTGACAGATTTATTCAAGCATGCATTAAGTAATTAAGACATCAAGCAAAGAGTGTGGCATTTCTAATCACTGAAGCTGCCACTCACTTTTGTTTCAGCATAAGCTCTGCACTCACACAAACTCCCATCATCACCAGATGCTTCCTACACTAAATAATGAGTCTCTTATTTACATTGTATTTACACTGTTGGTAAGAATGAGAGCATCCCCGAGTGTGCACTTAACAGACATTCCTGTGATTGGCTACAGTACTCAGCAAAAACACAGTGTAAATCGAAACCATGGTCGAAAAAGTCACAAGGGGGTTTTACTGATGAATTTTGTCATAAAAAAAATAAAATACTACTGTAACATTCTGTGTTAACTTAAACTTTATGATTGTGAGGGCCAGGATTTAGGCCACACATGATTCTTATATTTTCATCTTTGCATTGATCAATAAATGAAAAGACTTTACTATAATGGTTTGTTTTAATATCTTTATTTGTCATTGTACTGAGTCAGTGCACGGGCTTAGTTATTTGGCTTAAGGTTAAAACATTAAAACCAGTTAAAAACCATCTAAACAGTAATGTTAAAAACATAGTTAAAAGTGTTAAAGTTAAATTTTTGATTAAGATGACTTGATATGTTTGGTACCTGGTGTGTTGCAGGAACGGACCAGCCTAGTGACAAAGAGGTTCAAACAGGAAGTTGAACTGTTTTTATGGGAATTCTAAAGGAAGTGAGAATGTACCAACTTTTGATGTATTAGAGGGGACATGGGGAAATGTGATGTCCTGATCAATGTGATTTTGGTTTAATAGAGTTCTTTTTGCATTAACTAAAGTTTATCCATGGCTCTAAATTTAGTTAAATGTATTATGTTTATTCCAGGGTTTGTGTTGTTATTGTTTTGAGAATTTGTATGGTTTTGTTTCTCCTTTTTTTGTTCTAGTGGTGCTGGCCACCTCTTATAAATTCAGTGTATGTCTTGTCTAGTAAGTTTTGTGATGTAATGTATCCTGGAAAAGTGGTGCTGTTTTTTGGTCCTCTGTCAGTCTGAGAGGCTCAAGCACGATTATGCCCTTGGAATGCTTTCTATTACCGGTGATTGAACTTGAATGGAATATGACTTGACATTTTTAACTTATCATTTTTGTACCTCGAATGAGGCTTGATCACCTTTTATCTTGCTTTGGGACTCCAGCGAACCACAGTGAGAGCCATTATTCACAAATGGCAAAAACATGGAACAGTGGAGAACCTTCCCAGGAGTGGCCGGCCGACCAAAATTACCCCAAGAGCACAGCGACGACTCATCCAAGAGGTCACTGTGAGGGCCAGGATTTAGGCCCATTCTTATATTTTCATCTTTGCATTGATCAATAAATGAAAAGAATTTACTATAATGGTTTGTTTTAATATCTTTATTTGTCATTGTACTGAGTCAGTGCACGGGCTTAGTTATTTGGCTTAAGGTTAAAACATTAAAACCAGTTAAAAACCATCTAAACCGTAATGTTAAAAACATAGTTAAAAGTGTTAAAGTTAAATTTTTGATTAAGATGACTTGATATGTTTGGTACCTGGTGTGTTGCAGGAACGGACCAGCCTAGTGACAAAGAGGTTTAAACAGGAAGTTGAACTGTTTTTATGGGAATTCTAAAGGAAGTGAGAATGTACCAACTTTTGATGTATAAGAGGGGACATGGGAAAATGTGATGTCCTGATCAATGTGATTTTGATTTAATGGAGTTCTTTTTGCATTAACTAAAGTTTATCCATGGCTCTAAATTTAGTTAAATGTATTATGTTTATTCCAGGGTTTGTGTTGTTATTGTTTTGAGAATTTGTATGGTTTTGTTTCTCCTTTTTTTGTATTATTCATTCTTAAAAGGTGGGTTGAGGAACTGCAGCGTCACCACATGGTGGTGACTGATGTTCAAGAGCTGCCACACACTGACCAGCCTGCCACCAGCACATCCCCACAGCCACGTGTGGCTGAGACCAGTGAAGGTGTGCAGTCTGATGAGGTCCGCAGTGGCGAGGCATTCCAATGGTGAGAAATAAAGTTGTACAACTTCACTGATGCAGTTGTTGTGTATTGTTAGTCACATCAAGCACAAATATGCATTATTATAGCAAATCATGTTTTCCCCATTGCAGTGAGAGATGTGCAGTTGAGTGGCCGGTCAAAGAAGCTCATGGCAGAGAAGGGGCTGCATAGAAAGCATTCGCTGGACTACCCACTGCTGAAGAGCTTCACCAACCACCTGGATATAGACCTGCACAATGAAAATTTCAAACAGGAGGTGAGAACTACTGTAACATTCTGTGTTAACTTAAACTTTATGATTGTGAGGGCCAGGATTTAGGCCACACATGATTCTTATATTTTCATCTTTGCATTGATCAATAAATGAAAAGACTTTACTATAATGGTTTGTTTTAATATCTTTATTTGTCATTGTACTGAGTCAGTGCACGGGCTTAGTTATTTGGCTTAAGGTTAAAACATTAAAACCAGTTAAAAACCATCTAAACAGTAATGTTAAAAACATAGTTAAAAGTGTTAAAGTTAAATTTTTGATTAAGATGACTTGATATGTTTGGTACCTGGTGTGTTGCAGGAACGGACCAGCCTAGTGACAAAGAGGTTCAAACAGGAAGTTGAACTGTTTTTATGGGAATTCTAAAGGAAGTGAGAATGTACCAACTTTTGATGTATTAGAGGGGACATGGGGAAATGTGATGTCCTGATCAATGTGATTTTGGTTTAATAGAGTTCTTTTTGCATTAACTAAAGTTTATCCATGGCTCTAAATTTAGTTAAATGTATTATGTTTATTCCAGGGTTTGTGTTGTTATTGTTTTGAGAATTTGTATGGTTTTGTTTCTCCTTTTTTTGTTCTAGTGGTGCTGGCCACCTCTTATAAATTCAGTGTATGTCTTGTCTAGTAAGTTTTGTGATGTAATGTATCCTGGAAAAGTGGTGCTGTTTTTTGGTCCTCTGTCAGTCTGAGAGGCTCAAGCACGATTATGCCCTTGGAATGCTTTCTATTACCGGTGATTGAACTTGAATGGAATATGACTTGACATTTTTAACTTATCATTTTTGTACCTCGAATGAGGCTTGATCACCTTTTATCTTGCTTCAGCAAGCTTCAATAAAGACTGTCACGATTGAAGACCACTTTGCTCCTGTTTGTGGCTATGGACTATTTTTTTGTTGTGATTTGCTAATGCTTATGGCAGATCCATCACAATAATCCTGTGTAAAATGGCTGTGCAAATTGCTATGCGGCATGCATTTTGAAATGCTTTTCTTTTCAGGTTAAAAATGTGGCCAGGTTCATGTTTTACATGAATCCTGTTCAGCCCTCCCTTGAGTTTGTCAGGGATAAGGAGGATTTCGAGACGATAGAACTAACAGTGCAAAATTAGTTTCGGGTTTCTGCCTACAAAAATACGTCATCCCCAACAGCACTCGAGTCTGTACTTGGTGCTCCAGGTACTGCAGACGGAATGTTGGTGTTACATTTTGGTGTACTTATCAGGTGTTACAGTGACCAGGAGTTTCCTCTCAAATGAGCTGCTTCAGAAGTTGCGGTGACATGTGGAAGCTGTAAATCCAAGAGGGGTTCAGGCCCATCACTCCATGGCTGGTGTATTCTCAGTCATGCTCACCATGTGGTAAGCACGCTGAGTGTGGATAACGGCGATGCAGAAAAGCCTGTGGTAATGCTTCATCCTTATGCTTAGAGAGCTGCCGCAGATTAGCACAGACTCTGGCAACCGGCAGCGGCTCGCAAACTCCACGCCACCCTTCTCAAATCCGCCATCCCAGACACCGCTGCAGCACGGCAGGGGAGCGCTTTCTGTTACCGCCGCAAGAAGCATTACCGAAACCTCAGGCTTCTTCTGCGATCCCCAAGTGTGCAGGCTTAAACAGATCCCGCCACTGGATATCAGCTCCAGTTATTTGTCAGTTTCCTCACGACAATGACAGGCCGTAATCCAGAGCTGTCCTTCCACAAACTGAAGATCAATACAGAGGTGCTTGAAAGCTCTCATACTCATGTGTCATCACGTTCCACATCAACACAGGAAGTAAATGAGAATGACATGTTAACACCTTGAGTGACGGCTGTCGCGTAGCACGTGAGATTATGGTGACATTATGGTGTCCTCTTCTTGTAGAGTGTCACGGATGCCACTCTTTGAGTTGTGGTGACAGACTTGATCCCATGTTGCTGTTCTTTGGTTGAGTGTCTTATAATAGCATTACTCATAATGCACTGCCACTGATGACATTATCGTTGTCCATTAGTGTGAATCTTAACCCACCTGTCTCTGTATGTATCGCTTAACAGTAGGGCTGTGCGATTTGGGGGAAAATATCAAATTGCGATTTTTTTTGACAGATATTGCGATTGCGATTTGATTTGCGATTTTAAATTTGCAAAGTCAAGCTTCAGCTCAATATTGCCAATAATGTGCAGCACAGTATGGGTGTCATTACCCTACTGAAAAAAACAATAGAAACTATCACAGAAATTCTTATAGTTTCCATTAAACCATTACAAAATTCCTTTTTGTTTTGGGCATTATTCCAATAGGAATTACTGTTGTTCTATTGGTTGCCATCTAATGGTGGGTGTTTACGCAGTTGGCTAGAGCAGTGCTGATTGGGGAGAACGGAGGTGCGCTCACTCTATTGGTTAGTAAGACTGCAACTCAAGGCTGGCAGTCATGCATATGCTCTGGAACAGAGTAATATCGCGTCCATATTGCAGGCTTTGCGATTAAGAAATCGCAACATCTCAAATCGCGATTTCGATTCAATTTCGATTAATCGCACAGCCCTACTTAACAGGGACACGTCTTACTGTCTGTAAATAGACACTAATGATATGGTGTCTAAAATCAGCAGTAGGTGGCAGCGAGTTTTAATCATTGAGTCACTCATTCATTCATTCATTCATTCTAATTTGTTCATAAACTCATTCATTTATTCAGGAACAAAACTGCTGTGTATTGTTCTAAGAAGCACAAAAAATAAGTTCCTTGTTTGGAGCCATTTGTTTAAGACTTAAGTTTTGGAACTTAAGTCAAAAAAGTCTCAAATGTAACTCTCAATATTAAACTTTTGTAAAAAATCAGTATCACATTTGCATGTTCATAATCAGGAAAACGGCACACTTGCTTAAGTGATGTTACGTAACTATATCATATGATACATATCACATACCTCTAGTGGGCAGCAAAACATGAACGATAAATAAAAGGTTTACTTTACTTCTCTGTGAGCAAAGTTTGTGTTTTGGCCTGGTGAACAATAAAACCGTGGACTTGCACATTGTACATTAAATGAGGAACCTGAGGGGCCGTTTACACGACAACATTTTCAGCCAAAAATGGGAAACTTTTTATGCGTTTTGCCTGTTCGTTTACACGACAATGGTGTTTTGGGGACTGAAAGCGCATATTTTTGAAAACGCCACTGTTATCGTTTCCGTGTAAACACCCAAAACGGGAATCTTTGAAAACGGTGACGTCATGCGCGTGGGTAGTACGTGTTAGGTATGTAGACATGCGCAGTATGTGTTGATTTTAAAGGCAAACGCGAACAAACATACACAACAATGGCGGAGTACATGGTACAGTTGTTGCTGTTTAAGAGTTTGAGCAGCCCTAGCGGAGACGCATCATATACAACATATAATCGTCACTTTCCTACAGGTACTGTTTACTAACAAGGTAACAGTGCCACCTACTGACCTGGCATACGTAATACAGCGTTTTTGGCCATTTTCGCGGATATGTGTAAACACGAATCGTTTTGAAAACGTTGTCGTGTATACGTGAAACTTTTTAAAAACGCAAGGGAAAAACTTTTCCGTTTTTGACTACATTGTTGTCGTGTAAACGTAGCCTGAGACAGAAGAGAATATCATACAAACTTAGCAATTGGCATGTTTTTTTTTTTTTTGCACCAGTTTACTATTATTGGGTGAAAAATGACTGACATTGAGCTCTTGAATTGTATGTTATTAGTTTAACGTATTCACTGTGTGTCCTTATTTTTCCTTTCAGAAAATTCTGCAACTTCTACCTGAGAAAATCAACAGTCGATGGCAGTTTCACAGTATAGGTAAAGTGCTGCTCAGACCACTTGTTACACTGACGTGGTCCATGCCACACATTTTATCTGCTGAAATTGAAATACTGTTTACAGTATCACTCTTTCTTTTTATACAACAGTTCGTTCTGGTTCTCAAATCTGATTGGTTGAGAACCGTGAGATATTGTACTGGTATCGCTACAGGAACGCCCTTTCACAATTTTGTATCACTCCGCTTGTTCTAGCCGGGTCTATGTTTTTTTTTTAATTGTTCACTGAGCTAATCGTAGAGTACGTTCGTTAATATAAAAAGAAACGTCTAGCCACATGTTCCGTCGAACTGTTGTATAAACGCAATATCACTCTCGTACTCGAGCGATATTGCTCATGTGCGTTATTATTTATGAGTCAGTCTGTGAGAGTTCTGCTGTTAAAGCAGGTTCAGGAGAGACTCGAGAGAGTCAGTGTAACCTGGTTTAATACTTTCTCAGAGAAAATAATTAGCTACAGAGAGAGAGAGAGAGCAGGAGGCTAATAAATGAGAGGCTTCATTTGAAATGCAAATTACTAAATGAAATTATGCGTCTCATTGTTTCAGTCTTCCTTACAGAAAGAGCCTCTAAGGAGGCAATAACCTCAATTAGAGCCCTGCGCATAGAGACCGACAGACAGACAGACAGACAGATCCCTAAAGGGAATTCAAGCAAAAATTGATGCAACAGTATCTAAGATTATTGTTATTGATTTCTGTTATTTGTCTTTGCTGGGCAATTATTTTCTTACACTCGCAATCCTCTCTCTGTCAGCTAAAGTATTAGAACATAGCTTGGCTTTTTAATAGATTCAGTCCAGTTCCAGACCGTGTTGAAGTAGTTCCTTTTGATTGTAAGGCGAGTCTGATCCTCCAGTGTACTGTAGATACTGTGTGACTGAGTGTTGTTTACAATTGCCAAGCAATGCCACAACTGGCATATCAATATACAATTCAACAGATGGACCTTCTTTTTTTGGAGCCTTTATACGACAACAGGGTGAATACGGCATAACAGTTTTTGACCACTTTTTCAGCAACATTGATTCTGGGACTATTATTCCCAACAATCATTTGTTGCAAAATATGGATTTTTATATAAAAATTAGTTTTAGTTTTAGAATTTAGGAAGACTGACTGTATTATGCATTCTTTTTGATTATAAAAAAAAAGTTGAAATAATGCACTGATGGCTTTAACAGAAGCAAATATCAAAGGGGTCATATGATGCGATTTCAAGTTTTCCTTTCTCTTTGGAGTGTTACAAGCTCTTGGTGCATAAAAGAAGATCGCATAGAGGACGTACAATAATGTACAGTATTTGAAAAATAATGTGTTTTTTTAACATTAAAGCATGTCAACATATTCTGTTACACCAAATACACAAAATAATGATCTTTAAAATAGCATCATATGACCCCTTTAACAACCTAGCAGCTCACAGTAGGTCTGTCTTAAAATTGTATAAGTTATCATTAAAAATACATTTTCACAAGATCATTGCACTCTATACAGGTACATGGGACACCATAGCAAATATTATTAGACACTGTTGTGGCTTTTTTTTTTTTTTTAAGTAAAGTCAGATTAAGTCTAGAGTTGTGTAATATATAAAACATTTTAGGGTTGAATTCACAGCAAAAAAAACTATACAGTGAAAATGAGCTATACTTTTAGCATGATATAAAATAAAATGACTCATACTGATGCAAGTCCTCGTTCAGCAGCTGGTGTCAGCCTTCAGATCACTTCATCATAGTCAATAGTAACGTTTTTAATAGAGCCCGAACGATATGTTTTTTTTGGGGCCGATACAATACCGATATTAGGGAGTAAAAAAGGCCGATATCAATATATCGGGCGAGCGGAGTCACCTGTGTGTAGGATGGCCGAAGGAACTTTTTTCCCCGTCGAAAAAGACGAAGTCTGTCGTATGGGAATTTTTCGGGTAACGTAGACTAACCATGTTCCGTACACAATGATGTTCCATACAGATGACGTTTTAGCTCCGATAGCTAAATAAATACTTCCGAGTCGAACATAAACTATATATCTGTGTCATCTTTCACCCCCGATCAAGACAGAGACCCACCCGTCGTTTGTTTCAGTGTTTAAATAAATACATTTTTTGGCTTGCTACCGAGGCAGATAACATGGCTAATTAACTAGCTAATGTCAACTAGTTTCCTCCATCACGTTACTTCACCGAGTGAGGAATAGCAGTCTAAAGTACGTACTGTAGCCTACTTTTCTGTGATTTAGTACAATAATTAAATTTAGCTGGTATCACGTCTATACTTTTAAGCCTCCTGCCATTGTTTACATCTGTTCAAAATCACGCATTTAAAAAAATAAAAATAAAAATACTTTGCCACTGTTTGAGTGTTGTACGGAGAGACTGCGCGCGCGCGCATGTGTGTGTGTGTGTGTGTGTGTGTGTGTGTGTGTGTGTGACACTCGCGCTCTCTCTTTCCTTGTGTGTATGTGCACACATCCTCGTACCTCACCGCTCCAAACCATAGCTACAAACTTAATGTGTAGAAAGCGAGCATGTCTCCAAAAACCTTGTTGAGCTGCAGGTTTAATGACTGCATTTTTTATTAATTTTTTTATTTTATTTTTTACAGAAATTATGTTTTGATTATATTTTTGATTATTGAGCTGCAGGTTTAGGCTCACTTAAGTGACTGCATTTTTTTCATTTATAGGGATTTTTTTTTTTACAGAAAATAATTTATTTATGTTCTGATTATTGTTGAGCTGCAGGTTTAGGCTCACTTAAGTGACTGCATTTAATTAAGAAGAATATAATTATTTATTCTAATTATTTAGCCTGACATGTTTACTGTTCCAAAATGTTCTATATGTTTCTTAAAAATAAAATGTGTTCAGTGGGGAAAAAAAAGTTGTTTTTTTACCCAGACATTTAAAAATAACATTATTTTAATATTTTAGAGCTGTAATCGCAAACATTATTTTAATATTTTAGAGCTGTAATCGCAATACCGTGATACCGTGAAACCGTGATATTTTTATCTAAGGTTATCATACCGTCAGAATCTCATACCGGCCCATGCCTAGTGACATAATATACCTCTGTAAATAAATACAATATAGATTCACTTCTCGCGCACTTTAATGCCCATTGAATGTAATGTGTACGTTCCCTTGGAACTGGAATCATGGCGGAATTTCATGTGAAGTCCACTTCGCAGGGCACATACGGTCGAATAAGACAACACTTGAATGCTGCTGCCTTGAACAAGAGACCTCCTTACTGAAGTGAAAGTGTTGACTGGTGTCACTATCTCGCGAACGCGCCGGTGGATCTCCACCAAATTCGGGGGATCCGTTCAGCTTGAGGAGCCCTCTCAAATGCCACCCTCCGCGCATCGGTAGCCCCCCGGCATCGCTTGATCGGTCGGCGCCGGACCGCAAATTTAACCACCCGTAATTCCCAAACCCCAGGGGCTATCGATGCGGGGGTGGTCTCATTCGAAAGCGGGCCTCTAGACGTACACTCGGTTCGAGAGGGTTCCTCGAGCTGAAAGGATCCCCCGAATTTGGTGCGGATTCGCTGCGCCGTTAAGGAGATATGGCCGTTCAAAGTTTCAATGCTTTTCCTTAGATTTAAGCTTCAAAGCGTTTCATCCAGGTCGCCAGTAGCAAACAATGGAGCGCGCTCTGCTGGACAAACTAAGTAAAAAAAACGGCAACAGGCTCATATCGGCCGATAATATCAGCAAAACGATATATCGGTCGGGCTCTTGTTTTTAATTACATTTAGGTTTGTGCATCACAAAGCAGTGTAATGATCAAGTCTGTTATTGACTGTGTATTTTAAACTCTTTTCTTTTATAGGTTCTATACTCAAAAAACTTTTGCACACTGGAAACTCTTTCAAGGTAAGACAATTAATGAACCAGAAGACCTTCAAATGATGATGTACACATCTGTTGTGATGAATGCAGGAAGGGGTGTTGTGTTTGTGTGTGCAGATCCGCTGTGAGGGCATGCGTCTGTTCCTGCTCTGGCTGCAGGCTCTGCAGAGTAACTGTGCCGAAGAACAGCTCCTCATCTTCGCCTGTCTGATCCCAGGATTCCCTGCTGTACCCTCATCCAGAGGACCCTGCACACTGGACACCATCATATACAACCCCTTTTCCAACCCGCCCGATGGTAACAAACATGCACACTCGTTCACATGCACAACTAATCTGGGACCCACTGTATATGAAGTGACTTTAACTACTATGTACTAACATTTAAATGAATCATTTGATACAATGCACTTAATTGTGTACATACATATTTTTACATTGTAGAAATATTTTTAGAAATAACCTGCATGCAATTACAATATTTTAATTGTAATTACAATATAGTAATTAATTTCTGTAATTACATCTATATTTACGCTGTTGACCCTACCCCGTAACCCAAGCTTAAAACCTAACATGTCCCTGTCCTTACCCGTATCCCACTTCAATAACAGCAGAAGGGTTTGGGGTTGCACTTTATTTTAAGGTGTTTTTGTTGTAATGTAATTATATAAATATGGAAAGAGTAATATTAATCTTAGTTAACAACATTACTTACTATAGGGTTAGGGTTTGGTTTAGGGTTAGTTGCTTGTAATTATTCATAATGTACAGTTAGTACAAGGACACTAAAATATAGTGTTTTACCTTGCTTTGCAGTATAACATCAACATAAAAAGTACATTGTTCCCAACAATTATTATTGTTATTATTATTACTAATTTATATTTTTTGTATTTTTGTATTTTATTATTTTTTATTATTTTATTATTTTATTCCTTTATCTATTTATTTATTGACATAGGTACTGTATGTTGTAGTTAAAGACATATTTTATTCCTAGCCTATAGACTATCTACATAAAGTACACAATCATCTTATTCTGGCTAAAAAAATTCACTGCTTTATTTATTTATTTTTACGTTTTGCATTTTGTTTTACATGATAAAATATGAAATCATTAATGTCACGGTGATACAATGTTGTGTCAAAACCGATAACTCATTCAGAAAATAGGGCAGTCATGTCTCATCATATCAGAGCTTGCTTTTTTATTAAATATATAGAGCACTGTAATTATGTATTTTGTTGGGCAAAAATAGGATTTTCCATTGGCATTTGGATTATTGCAGAAAATAAGCTCTGTGACCAACAAAAGTTTATGATATTTAGATGTTTTGTTCATCATGATAATCTTCACAACTTTGTGAATTTTGAAGCCTAATTACAGTTGGCCGAAGCAAAAAGCTAAATGGAACCGGATGGTACCGGAAGTACTAAAATACAAACTTTCCATGAGCTTGTTGTCTGAAGCTGAGACTGTTATTTTTCAGCATTGGTAAGGCGACGACTGCTGGGGATGACAACATGAGGCAGGAATTTCGCAGGACTTTTAGGCAGGTTGTGTCGATGAGTGACAGCAGAATAAGGATGGAGCAAAGTGTGGATGTGCTGTTCTTGTAGGACGTTCAACTAGGTTTTGTTTATATTTTGCTTAACCTATAATTTTAAATGACAGATGTCGTATTTATGAATTTTTCTCTGCGACACTTTTCCTACTGTGTTAACAGAAAAATGTCAAACTAATTTAGTATTTTGACAAGACGAATAAAAATAGCTAATAGGCTATTTTTGTACAACCTACATTTGTATTTTTTTTTTCTCTCTGCGACACTTTTTCTTATTGTGTTGTAAATGTTAAACGGATTGTATCCTGACAAGACGAATAAAACACAATTTTTGTACAACATTTTTATTTTCTCTGACACTTTTTTTTTAAACACTTTTTTTCCTACTGTGTTGCATAAAATATTAAAACAATTTTTGTACAACATTTTTATTTTCTCGGACACTTTTTTCTTACTGTGTTGCATAAAATATTAAACGAATTTTGTGTCTTAAGATAATTCATATAAATTCAAGTCAAAGTCAATAAATTCAAGACTCTTGACAAGACGAATAAAATAACATACAATTTTGTGCAGACTACACTTTTATTTGTTAGCCTATCTCTCTTTCTTTCAGTAGCGGAAATTTAAATGTGAGATTCTGGAAATGAGATCTAAATTTAGCGGGAATGGTCGGGTCGGGAAGAAAATTATTCTAAGCGGACAGCGGGTGAACAAATAGTGAATATATAGCTGGGGCGGGTGGGTGCGGAATAAAACCTTGCGGGAGCGGTAAAAATATAGTCCCGCGCAGACCTCTAACCTGGACGAATCAGCTGAACTCAGTGTGAATGCTGTACATGCACTCTGTCTTACCTGAAGTTCCCAGTAACCCTCGTATTATTCAGTGTTCACAGTTTCGCCCTTCATTCATTTCATCCCTCACCATTTACTGTGTAGTGTCTGTCTGGGAATGTAATTTTTAAAGATGGCCAATTAATGCTCTTGTAGCACAGAGGCACTTTAAATCTAGTATTAGAGTGTAATAATCAAATGGCGGCACAGCATCCTCAGAAAAGGAGGTCAGAGTCTGTTAAATGCTGAAAGGAACGATTTCCCTTGATGTTTCCTCTTGGAATAGATTTTATTGATGCCCTTGAACCAGTAATGACCCATTCATTTCAAGCACTGTGGATGTGTTCATATGTATTTAAAATCAGTGAATATTCCTTTCTGTCTGTGCTGACGTGCTTTATGTCTGAATAGATTTCATTAGTGCAACACATAGGCTATTCACACTGAAGGCTGTTCAGCCTTCTGCAATGACAAAGACAGTAGTGGCAGGAATATTGTGGCACGGCGCTTCGAGCTGACACAATCCATGTGGTAAAAATAAGCAGGATGCAGATCTAATTATTAAAATACACTTTTTTTTTTTTTTGAAAGGTGAAGAGTGTCATTTGTTGGATGTGAAAATATTATCCCAGTTTACTATACATAGATGACTTTAAAGTAGAAGCAATGTATATTTATATATTTAGATGTATATTTAGACTCTTAAACATAATAGTGCACACTGTAACAGACTGTGCCGCTGTTTGTTTGAATGCTTTGAACATCTGGTTCAACTGGTCGTGTGTTGTGCATCACGATTTCTGTTGCTCATACTTAAGATTAGAATTTGAACATGTATTAGAATTTGAATAAGTAGACATACACTGAGATATTTAGAGCAGTGGTTCTCAAGCAGGGGGACCCACTTGGAGGCCTCATCAAACTTCCAAAGGTGCCTTGAGATGGCTTAAAATCATTAAAAATAAGATAAAACAAACATAAATTAATACAAAAAAAATCCAAATTTAAGCTGACACCATATTTTTTATTTCCATTATTTTCTCAACAACAGTATTATTTTAGAACCAGAATTGTCACGCTTTTGGAAAAACTAAATATAAGTAAATTTGAAATGTGTAATTTCTAGACCTAGAAAACTTCTATATAGAGTATCTAATTTCTTAAATGTACATAAATATAGTTTCTTGTAGTTATGTCAAGCTGGGTAGAAATTGTTATCTTTGAGTAAAAAAATAAAAAATATATAGAAACTCATTATTTGGAAGTAATTTGTTGCATATCCAAAAAAAAAAAAAAAAAGATTACATGCAGAGATACTAGCAATCTTCTTTTATTAATTCATGTGCACAAAATAAAGTGCTTTGTGCATTTAAAACCCACAACAAACGCTTCATTCGCGGAGGACTTTCCTCATTGTCCTCTTTGGAAGAATTTCTATGTAACTTGGAATCATGTTACATGTGGATTGAAAAGTGTGCAAGATCCTCGGTTTTTCTTTTTTGGAAAAGAAGAAAAAATCCCATAATCACAAAAGACTAGAAAAGTCATGTAAATGCATTGCTCATAAAAAGTGTAAACTCAAACATACATTACATTACATAAAAATAAAATAAAAATGGGTGAAAATAAGAAACTTTGTTATTATAGCAGAAGTACTAGTTATATTTTTGGGGACCTATTGAATATTGTCTTTAAAAGTTTGGCCATTTGCAGTCAAAGAAGTTGAGAACCTCTGATCTATAGAACAGAATAGAAACCATCCAGAAGACCCTAGGGTTGTGATGACAAGTTTTGCTTTCTGAATCATGTATTACACACCTCACCTTTCAGATGTTTTTGAGTATATTCAGACTCCGTGTTTGTGGTTTTGTAGCCAAGATTGTGCCAGAGGAGATCACCCCGCTGGTGCCTGCGGTTCCCGGAGAGAAGGTGGCAGAAGACCACACCTGCTCTGTCCTCCAGATTGTGCTCAAGGTCATGGTTCTCCAGGTGAGACACAGCTGCTCTTATCAGTGTTTGGCTGATAATGCTTGTGGCCTGCTTTGTTTCTTTCTGAAGTCTGCATGTTGCTCATAACTGAATTGTTGTGATGTAATTTGAATCAGATTTTTTTTTTTACTCCCACAGGCATCCAGCTTGGACTGGAAAAACAAAGAGAGCCAGGACATGGGCTTCAGATTTCTCTTTTCCCTGTTCAAGAAGTACTACCTGCCTCACCTCTTCCCCTCTTTCACGAAACAAACCAACCTCTACAACCCACAGTTAGGTGAGTTTGAGACAAGAAATGTTTCTCTCTAAACCTTATTTTAGCAGCTCACATTTTGTTTGGTTGTTTATAAAGAACCAGCCAAAAGACTAAATTATAATGAATAATGATTCAGTGTATATCACATATAGCGTTCACATCCAATCTCTCTGATAACACTTAAATATAACTGAGTTGAGTTTATTGCAGTTTAAAGAAATATTTCTTTAAAAACATATACCAGACTTTGGAAAATAGGTTCTGGTCAAGCTTAACACAATGACAAGAAAATGAACTGGAACAGGATGCAAAAAAACTAGGGAAGATGATGTGAGGGGTGTTTTATCAAACAGTTTGGGGAATGTTTCATCATTCTATCATAAAGTGAGGTATTTTACAGATACACTTGTAAATAGGCCATTTCTTCAGTAGCAGTTGTAGCCGGAAACATTTCTATTGTGTGATGCTGCATTCACACGGATGGCTGTCAAAATGAAGTCCAAGGCTGCTGTCATATCGACCAGCAAAACAAACAGTACAATACATAAAAGCACTATTAGTGATGAATTATCCTGTGGTAGTGTTGGCTAGCAGGTGAGACTGTGTAATGATCTGGTCTGTTTGGAATTATGGTATTGTAAAAATAAAGCATAACTGCCACACAGTGTGTTTCAGAATGCATGTTAATCTCAGAGGACACTTAAATGTGTAGTTAACCGCATTCACAGTGAACCAAGCCCGTCTGAGATGCTGAAAACAGCAGATCGTGAAGTGTTCAGATGTAAATGAACACAGTGCTGCGCTTCACTCTAAAAACACGCAGCTTGATAAACGCACTATGCCAATATCGCAGTTTTAATTTTATATCGATTGACAGATGCTGTGCCAAAGCAATGGCTCAAACTTATTATGTAAAAATATTTTGGTTCATTATGAAACAGTCTAGGTAATCAATGGAAAACAATGCTGTTATTTTTTATTTGTATTTCCTTTCCTCTCTCTCTCAGATCTTCCCATTCACAGACCAAAGCCCCTCTACGTCCCCGTGACACGTAACAGTGAGAGCACATACTGCACTAGGGATCAGTATCTGGCTCCCCGTGTGGCCTTCATCACATGGCTCGTTAACTTCTTCCTGGAGAAGAAGTATGTGAACTCGGCCACGAGCAGCTCTAAGAACGGAGGAGAGGTCCTTCCTAAGATCATCCAGGTGGGAGGATCAGAGAACCACTGTCTCACTGTCAACTACAGTAGCTACATGGACACATATCTTCTGAGACAGCATACTCATTAACTGGAAATATAATTTTTCTTAATTGAAACTCGTTTGGCAAATTCATTATAGGAACAATAAAGCCAAATTGAAATTTCTGTCATCATGTACTCACCCTAATGCTGTTTCAAAAACAAAAGCAGAATTTCCAAGCGTTACTTTTCCATGCCACTGGCTGTCAACCCCCTAACAATAATATTTTGTAATTTTGAGTAATTTCACATTTGTTGTGATAAAGAAACATATAGGTTGCATATATCATTCATTCATTCATTTAGTTAGTTTTACAAGCTTTGTTTTTAAAAAGCACAGATGCAAAAACATGCATTCATGCATTTTTTTTTTTTTTGCCATGCACTTACAGTATACAGTGTGCAGAAAACATTGTTCTTATAATACTGTACTGTACATCTAAGAAAGGCTTTTGGCTAATATAAGCACATAAGCACTCTATATATATATATATCTATATCTATTTTCTGCATCTCAAATGTGATCTCATGTATTAGATTATGTAACATGTTGCATTACAACTATTGCCTCACAAACTCTGTGCAAAATTGTTTGTTTGTGCATGTATTTATTTATTTATCTTCATTTAAGTATGTGTTTTCCCAAGGAGTGTAGACACTTTTCCACATAATTTTATTATTTTATTTTATTTAGGTGAAGTCTTAGTAATTCTTAGTAAATATCACTACTATAAACTGTAGGAATTTGGTTAATGCAAGAAAGCTCTTTCGTCTCCCTGTGTTTGTGTTCAGACTGTGACTGCGGGCGGGATCAGTCAGGAGAAGAGCGCAGACTCTGAGCCCAACGGTCCTGTGGAACAGGAGAAGAATCACTCAAACAGCAGCACGCTGTCAGATCGCAGGGGCAGTAACTCCAGTCTGTGTAGCATCGAGGAGGAGCATCGCGCCGTCTACGACATGGTGCAGTCCATCCTGCTCTCCACACGAGACAACGTCAATTTCGTCAACGAGGTCTTCCATCAGGTCAGAGACTGAGTGCTCCAGTCTGTAGCTTACATCATGTCATCTTACGTTTGCATATTTTTAGACATGTTCTACTTGGTTAGAGATACAGTGAGTCTAATGAATATTTGTTTGCTGCCTCACAATGAAATGCGTATTATGCATACTGTACGTCATGCTGTGCTATATCACAAATGTCTTAATTATCATTGTAAGAGGTCTTACGTTTGAGGATGGAAAAGCAGAAATCACAATACAGCCTAATGTTATTATTAAACTTCAAAGGGCTATGATTTAATCAAATAAATATGAGCCCTGCACGTTTAAAGTCAAAAGGCTCATGGTTTCAGAGCAGTTCACAATCAATAAACACCACGCATTTATGCCAATAGATTATTTATGATCAACTATTGATGAACAATGTGTGTTTACTGAATGGTGTGTACAGTATATGTTGCAGACTGTGTTAAGAGTGCATATTTTACCTCCCTCATCTGTTTGAATGAACAGCTGGAAGTAGTGAACTGTAGACATTTTCAAAATAAGAGTCCTGGTGTATTTCAAGCTTGTTTAAAGTCCTGCATCATGCATATATCCCCCCCTCCCCCCCTGGTTATTATTGGTATTTTGGTTAGAAAAACTGTATCTGGCATTGGATGTTGTCTGGGCTACCCAGTCACAGGAAAGGAAAACGGAACATTATTTAACATATTTTTCAGTATGTAGATTTGACCAGTATTGACATCAGTATGTATACACACACAGCCACGTCTTGGAGCCACTGTATGACACATACATCTAAATTAAGCAATTAATTGATTATTTGTATCAGAAAATGAAACTTTTGTTGAGATGCTCTGTCTTTTGCTGCCACCCTGTGGCCAGAATCCAACCGTCATGTTAAACTATTTCAGAAGAATTATTTTGTCATTACAGTTTTCATGTGAATCAGAATAAAGAACATATATATTCTAGTGTAGTCACATGCAATCTAAACAGCATGTTTTCTAGCATTTTATCCATAAAGCAAACTGTTTTATCTCACATATGTGTTACAGATTAGGGGTTTTTAAATTTGGGCCCATACATTAAGCCAAGTGAAAAATTCAGAGCGCAAAGAACAATTATTTTTTCTTCTTTGAAACAATATGTATAAATGTTGTTTTACATTTTACAACATGTTATGCGAGGGTCCTTGATGTCAAACAGTTCAAAAGTCCCTGTTATAGAAGAAGAAACTTGTACAAATTGTGTGAGTGTATATCATTTGAACTGTATCATCACTTAGGCTTTCCTGCTGCCGGCCTGTGAAGCTTCAGCCACTTGCAAGGTGATCAAAGTCTACAGGAAGTGGTTTCTGCAGGAAAAACCCAATTTCATGGCTGAGCCAGAGACGACAAGCCAGGAGGAAGATGGAGAGGAAGAGCACCTCGTATCTGAGACGGACAGTGCACACGTGCAGGTATGGTCATGCAAAAAATGCTGTTCATGCTGCAACATTAAGTTATTCCCACTCACCTGTTCTGTGTCAACCCTTCAGGCCTTGGAGACTCATGGGCATAAACGCTCGTCCAGTTGGGGGCGCACTTACTCCTTCAGCAGTGCCATCAGCAGAGGCTGTCTGACTGAAAAACAGAACCAGGACGTGAAAGCTGGCATCCAGCCCACCCTGCAGGTGCTCAAACACACGAGCCCTCTCATCTCATGCTTAACATTAAACAGAAATATTATTACAATTTAATGGAACTGTTTTCTATTTGAATATATTTTAAATCCTTCAGATCCTTCTGAAATCATTCTAATATGCTGATCTGCTCACAAAACATTTCTTATTATTATCTATGTTGAAAATAATTGTGCTGCTTTAATTAGATTTTTTTTTTTTTTCGGAAACTGTTCCTCCAAAAGTTTGGATCAAGTAAAAGAAATAAAAATAAATACTACTATTACGATTAAAAAAACAACACAAAAGTAGTACCTGGATTTCAACACAACAAGAAAGTTAAAAAATCTGAGCTATTCCAAACTTTTGTGTTCAGTGTAGTTGAGAATGAATAGTTTCATGTGTTCTCAGGTGTTCCTGACAAACTCTGCCAACGTGTTCCTGTTGGAGCCGTGTCAGGATGTGCCCAAGCTGTTGGAGAACCAGCTGGATGTGTGCCGAGCTGTGCTCAGCGTCTACCGTCACATTATTATGGAGCAAAACATGAACCGCCCGACTTGGTCAGTCACACACGACATAACACTGAATCTGTATAGAGCTCTGTTCTGGTTTACCCGCTGTTCACAAACATTCAGCTTATTGTGTGCGTCATATTATTTTAGGGAGCAGTTGCTGCAGGTGTTGCTGAGGATCACAGAAGCAGTGATGAAGAGACCACAGGAGAACCAAAGAAAAGACACGTTCGCCCACAGCCTGGCCAGCATCCTCTTCAAAGTGAGTACAACATGAACAACCCATGGCTTCATACACACCACAGGGTTTTTCCAGGCTCAAAATGAGGCGGAGGCGGTACCATCACATACCATACTGTACCTTCAACTGGCTGATGCAAACACTATTTACAGGCTACGTATTAGGGGTTCTAATTATTAGATGGTAGAAAAAATTACAATTATCAAGTTCAAGCTAGGGTTGTGACTGTGAGGAAGTTTTCCCACTGGTTAATCGACGTGTGACAACACCGGTAATACCGGTAACACCGTTGGGGTGGGGGGGGTGTTAGTTCGTTTGAGTTTCCCCTCTTTTCTTCGCTTTCAAATGGCTTGTAAAAGTGCCGTGCACATTTTACTTTCACTTTCAAAGTGACGCAATTCGGCGTTGACTCAATTCAAGCAACAACAAGGTCAAACTCAGAACTTTTATTTGCATTTTACTTTCACTTTCAAATTAGCGGCAATTGAATTGCCGCAATTCGGCGTTAAGCAATTGTTCGTTTGAGTTTTCCCTCTTTTCCTCGGATTTCTTGGCTTTCAAATAGCTTGAAAAAGCGCCGTGCGCATTTTATTTTCACTTTCAAATTAGCGGCAATTCGGCATTGATTCAATTCAAGCAACAACAAGGTCAAACTCAGAACTTTTATTAACAAAAAGAATAAAAGTACACCATATATGCCTAATAAAATAACTAATTACTTAGGCTACACAAAGTTTAAATAGGTATATAAAACTGAAAATCAGCAAACACTGTGGAACCAAATAAATAAGAAACGAATGTTTAAAATAAACTTCAGTCAATAGGCTTTTCAAAATCTAAAATATTGCCAAACAGGCGCCTTTGCATTTCCTTTAAATCTGACTCCTGCTCCGTGGTGCACGGTTCGGCACGCTGCATTGAGCGTTTAGTTTTTAAAAGTGTCTGTCCTCTAACTGAACTAGGCTAAATGATTTTTGTTACTATAAAAAAATCAAAACGACGGTGGGGGGCGGTGCCGCGTTAGGCAAATGACGTAACCGGTGTTGTGGCTTAACACCGGTATAACCGAAAACACCGTCTATCGCAGCAAGCCTAGTTCAAGCATATTCTACAAAAAGCTAACCTGTTGAACGTTAATTATACACAACATAACAGCTAAAAGAGGCCCTTTTGCAGTGTAGTTCAACATATGCATTAAAGCCATATTTATCTACACAGTGCACAACCAGAGGCAGAAGGTTTCTATTTTTCTTTTTATAAAACCTCTTCATCCAGTCTTTATAGTCCAATGCCTCTTGGCCTACATCACTTTGATCCCAATATACATTTATCTATTTATTATATAGAGTCTTTCTAGAAAACAAACATTTTCTTATACAGCAGGGTGAGAGATGCATTAGAGCTACAGTTATCATCATGACACATAAAACAATTTAATAAACTTTAAAACTACACTTTTACACGAAAAGCTACCAGACAACACGCTTCCACACAAAAGATCGGACCCCGTCTCCTGGTGCCTGCTTTAAAAACTACCTCGCCTGCCTCTACTGATAACCACCTCACCGGCTACACTAGTCTCGCCAGAACCAAGCTTTGTTTACAGCAAAGGAAAACCAGTCTCCTCTTGGCTAATATCGAAATCCTCCGACATTTTTCATTAAAAATCCTTATTATATAAATATATCTAGAATGAATTACACTTTAAATTATATTAAAATTAGAAAAGTTTTGATCAAACGAATGCCGTCTTGGTGTGCATAAGAAACTTCTTTAAAAAAAATCTTACCAGTCCTAAACTTTTAAACTGTAGTGTATGTCCTTTTACATTCACTTTAATGAAGTCATTTTGGTGTTTACAATCATATGGTCCTGGCTGCTAATTCTTTGCCGAGAGCTTAAGTAATGTACTGTATTAAGACCATCAACTGCTCTTGTGCACCCAAGAACTATCACAAATATTTCTGTATAATAAAATGTGTGTATTTTGCTGTAACTGAATACATTTGAAGAATGATTTTAATGCTAGAACATGAAGCTAACATTCTTTAATTTCTGTCTTTGTATGAGGTCTTTGTTTAATTTTTATAAAACTCTAATGGCGGTAGAATATTTTACCTTGTGTACATTTTTATCGTCATTGTTGCGTATGATGATGTAGTTGATATGGCTTGATGTGGTGGAATTGTGTGCTGCTGTCACTTGCAGACGATTTTCGTGGCGTGGGTGCGGTCTAACCTGACCGTGTTTATCTCTCGTGAGCTGTGGGACGAGCTGCTGGCTGTGCTGTCCTCTCTCAGCCACTGGGAGGAGCTGGTGTTCGAGTGGGCCAGCATCAATTTAATCATATATATATATATATATATATATATTTTTTTTTTTTTCCCCTTCAGACATTTCGTGTTGTCTGTTTATGATTTAATACAAATTAATTATCAATAGCTATGGTAATCAAATTAAGGCATCAAACTTTTTTTTAAACATAAAAATGCTTTTTTTTTTTTTTTGTAAAATTATATATTTTTTTTTTTTTCCCCTTCAGACATTTCGTGTTGTCTGTTTATGATTTAATACAAATTAATTATCAATAGCTATGGTAATCAAATTAAGGCATCAAACTTTTTTTTAAACATAAAAATGCTTTTTTTTTTTTTGGTCTTGTAAAGTGTTGCACAACAGAGTTTTACTGTTAAAATTGAAACATGGAGGAAAATTTGTGATATTCCTTAAAAATTAAAGTTTTAATAATTTTTATTTCAATACTTTGAGAAGTGTACTGTACAATACTAATGCATTTCTGTCACAATTGCTTCAAGCTTGAATATGTGTAGTAGATAAACTGTGGCGCTCCTTCACACTGAGACACGCAGAACATGCAGACTTCATATATGTGACCATGGACCACAAAACCAGTCTTAAAGTTGTCCAAATGAAGTTCTTAGCAATGTATATTACTAATCAAAAATTAAGTTTTAATATATTTACAGTAGGAAATTTACAAAATATCTTCATGGAACATGATCTTAATATCCTAATGATTTTTGGCATAAAAGAAAAAATCTATAATTTTGACCCATACAATGTATTTTTGGCTGTTGCTACAAATATACCCCAGCGACTTAAGACTGGTTTTGTGCTCCAGGGTCACATATCAGCAGTCTTTCTGCACTGTAATATTCACAGCCACTAGTTTAGTTTAATTTAGTGTACAGCTCTACTTTTGATTTATTCATCCAAAACTTGCCAAATTCTGTGACATTTCGCATTATGCTGTAAATTCCATTTTTATGACTCCACACTTCCATCCACGGGACAGAGTTGATGGATTTTTCTCTTGCTGTCACCATGTGTAGAACAAGTGGAACTGAAGCCACGTGAATCCAAGACTAGTTGACCCACACAAACACACGTCAACTAGTCACTTCAGCTCCTGATTAGAGTAGAACTGTCTCTCAAACATGAATTTTCTGTCTCTTTGTTTCCTCACATGCACATGTGCAGAAATATTTTCCTTTTAATCTTGCCTGGTTTGGAGTTGATTGTATCTCTTTATGGTGGAGAGCTTGTTGAGTTTGGAGCAGATGCGTTTGAGCCTGAAGGATGCCTCTCGCACACGCCGCCCCCAGAAACATCCTCGATTGTGTGTGCGCATATGAAACGACGTGGCTTCAAATTCCCCTCTTTTCTTTTGCCTAATTGGATTTCTCCTACATTGATCTTCAAACAGCCCAGCGTCCTCCCCTCCTCGTTAGGAGAGCCGCCTCATCAAACTGCCTGCCTGTTTT